GGTCTGTAGTTGTGAAATCTCTTGGAAGACTTTTGGCCGGGACTTTGCTGGAAAGGAATTCCCTTTAACCTAAATAAAAGGGGTTTTATCGGGATGAGGAGTCAGCTTCATGCTTTTGGGAAGCCTAGGTCAGAACAACAGGTTTGACCATTTGCTCCTTGGTACACAGTCACTATTGTAAATCTGAAAGGGGCCTGTCGTTATCTCCTTTTCTGGGAAAGGAGGGGGAAACCTCCAAACTGAAAAACAGATAAAAACTCATTCAAGGTGAGCTCACCTTTGGGTCTTTGGTGCTCTCTAAGCTTGGTGGTTTCCTTGCAAATGTTTCAGAGTTGGCATTCAGCAGGATCTGACCAGTTCTGGAGAACCAGTAGCGGAAATTTTGAGTAGTTCGGAGAACCGGCAAATGCCACCTCTGGCTGGCCATGCCCCCATCTAATCTCTGCCTCCCGAGTCCCAGCTGATTGGGAGGAAACGGGGATTTTACAGTATCCTTCCCCTGCCACGCCCACAGAACCGGTAGTAATATTTTTTGAATCCCACCCCTGAAATGTTTCCTTACTGAGCTGAGTATCCTGGAAAAATAACACTGCTTAATAGAGTGTGTCCACTCTAAAAGGAGCAAATTTTCTAAATTCCTCTTTTTTCTACCTTTCATGGAGCTTTCAGCCCTTAAAGTAGCTTTTCCCAGCCAGAGGTCACCCCCCCAGGTATGTTGCAACTACAATCCCCAGAATTCTCAGCCAGAGGAAGAGGGGTCAACTTTCAATGATGCCCGTCTCACCTTGATGAAGCCAAACTGATGGGTGTGCCAGGTGTCTTCTGACAAGGGGTACGTGTCGTAGAGAATCCCTGCATGTGAGAAGCAGATTTTTGGATCTCAAGAAAGAAATGCATTACGGCTATAATAATCATTTTTCGCTGTCCGGGAATGGGTGCTCCTTAAATGAACTTCTGGAGGTTTTCCTTCAACCCATGAGCCCCAATCACAGTGGCCAACAATCAGGACACTTTCTTGTCTTCAGTCCAGTTTAATTGTCAAATGTGCTGTCATGGATTGATTGATTGATTGATTGATTTACTAGGTCAAGTGCTCAAAAGCACTTGTAATCCAGGGGTGGCTGACTATGGCAACTTTATGACCTCGTGGTTGGCTCAGGAATTGTGAAGTTGAAGTCCACAGGTCATAACATTGCCATAGTTGCCCAGCCTGCCATAACCCCAGGGGATTCTGGGAGTTGAAGCAGTGGTGAAATCATCTGAATTCCGCTACCGGTTCGGTGAGTCTGCTATCGAGCGTGAGCTTTGCATGCATGCACACCTGAGGCCTAGCCGCGCAGCGTTAATAAAAGAACATTTTCAAGCCTTTCCGGATCTGCAAAGATAAGTAGAAAAGCGGGGTGGGGTGGGGGAGGGAAATCCACTGTGCAACTCTGTTTAGATTAGCTGGAAAGCAGGAAATCTGCCGATTCTATTTAATATACATCGCGCATCACAGCTGTTCATTGCCCAGCTGATCGTCGGAATTTTTTACTACCGGTTCAGGCGAACCGGTCCAAACCGATAGCATTTCACCCCTGAGTTGAAGTCCACAGGTTTTAAAGTTGGCATAGTTTCCTCCACTTGCCAAAGCCCCTGGGGATTCTGGGAGTTAAAGTCCACAGATCGTAAAGCTGCCATAGTCTCTCATGCCTGCCGTAACCCCAGGGGATGCTGGGAGTTGAAGTCCACAGGCCATAAAATTGCCAAAGTTGCCCACCCCTGCTGTAACCCCAGGGGATTCTGGGAGTTGAAGTCCACAGGCTGTAAAATTGCCACATTTGCCCACCCCTGCTGTAACCCCAGGGGATTCTGGAGTTGAAGTCCACAGGCTGTAAAATTGCCAAAGTTGCCCACCCCTGCTGTAACCCCAGGGGATTCTGGGAGTTGAAGTCCACAGGCTGTAAAATTGCCACATTTGCCCACCCCTGCTGTAACCCCAGGGGATT